CTCTAACCCAAAATCTTTCAATTCCCAAAAAAAAATCCCCCTATGCAGATGAACATAAAAGACGTTATATAGGGGAAAATTAGGGTAGGTTTTGGGGGAATTCGGGTAGAAATTTGGGGTCAATCCCGAATTCAAAATTCGAATTCTTTCACCAATTTGGACAAGCACCTTTTTCTGAAGATTTTGCTCCATTCCGGAAGAGGAAATGAAGAATGGACGACTTGGATCGATTCCAACGTCCCTCTTGTGCTACGTGGAGCGATCTCTCAGCCGAAAAGGACGAAAACGCGTGATTTGCTGCTGCTGGAACAGTGCTACGTTCTGGGTTTCTGGTCTTTGCGAAGAAGAAGGCACTGGTACAGGGATGGGGTTGGGCACATGGGTTTGATATTTGTGTTGTTATATTGTTTGGCTATATTGTTGGTATTGTATGTATATGGATTTGGTAGGAATTAGTATTGTTAGTGGGCTGCTGTACGTTATTGTTGGTTGAAGGAATTGACAAATGTTGATGGGTCTTTGTGGGCCGGTTTTTGGCATTAAGAAATGGCCCAAAATGGGTTTAAAGTAAGGTAAGTTAGATTGGAATTAGGAAATAGCTTTACAGATTGCAAATTCGGCCAAACTAATTAAGAATTTAGCCAAAATTGGATGAATACTCATGAATTCGGCTAAAAACTAAATAAGACAAATTAATATTAATTAATTAACGAGCTTCTTAATCTTAACGAAATAAAATAATTAAATTAATTGTAAATTAATGATTCAAAATTATAACCATAATTTAAACTAAACTAATTTAATAAAATACTTACTAAAATTAAAATCTTTTTGAGACGATTTTTGAAATGTTTATAAAATATGCTGATTATATACAAAATTATATAAAAACATATATATTACTTATAAATCATAAAAATGATAAGATTAATTAAAAGTAACTTAAAAAATATTTTGAGCTTAATAAAAAATAATTATTTCAAATCGTTTGAAATTTTAAAAAAATTCAGCGACTAATTATTATCGGGGAGGGTCAAAATTTGGTGTCAACACACGATAAAGAAAATAAGAAGATTTTCTTAAAAAGTAATAATGATAATAATATAGATAATATTTATATACACATGTTATACTTACAACCTACTTTACTTGGTTGAAGGGACCACATCAACGAAAAATTGAGTTTGAAAGAAAAGGGAGGAGAGGGTAATAGAACCCGAATTAAGTTAAAGTATGTTGCTAAAATTCAATGGTACTCTACCTTATCCCTTTTTTATATGACCCTAGATTTATAGCGAAAAAAGCTTTACAATTAATATTGTTGATAGATGAGAGATGGTTACTCTAAATCATTGTTACTTCTCTCTACTATACTAGATACAACCGTCCAGGCAAGGTTAAACTGTTTTGAGACAATGTGAAATTGAATAAAATATCTTTCATTAATAATTCGGTTCAAAAAGTCTCTAAAGTTAATACATTGATCCGAAAAAGCAAGAAATCAAGGGTACAATCAATGTAATAGTAATACAATATTGTCTTATGGCTAAAATTATTATATGTGAAAACAACTACGGTCAATTTCTTCAAAAAATCTTCCTTTTTCTCAAAGATACTATTTTTTTTTTCTATGATGTGTCAAAATCGATGATATACTTGCCCTTAAAATATATAGGAGGTTGTTAGTCATTAAACATTGTATAGCCATTGCCTTGTGTACACTAAAGTTAACCAAACAGTGTGTACCCTTATCAGCCTTTTATGTAACAGTGTCAAATGGTTGAATTTTTAAAAGTAAAAGTTGTTTAATTTTATATTATTTTAACTTTTAAATAGTAAATAAAGGAACAAAATTCACCTACGAAGATTGTAGTACTCTCACGGCCTGCTAAAATTTTAGATCGTTACAATTAGCAATAAGAAAAACTACTTAATTACTCCCTTGGTGCGTTTTACTTGTCCACCATACTAAAAATAGTACAATATTTGTTCAGTTTGAATAATCAAAAGATAATTTATCTTTTTATGTGTATTTTACCTTTACTATTAAATATCTAATAAATTTCTCAAATCATTGTACTTAATATATTCAAAAGATATAATGTAGTAATATTACCCCTATTTTTTATTATTTCTTAAGATGTGTGTCAAATCAATAGTGGACTATCATTGTTGAAGAGAGGGAGCAATAGATGATCTTATTTAGTAATTAGGATAATATTTTCTGAATATATTGTGGGAATGCTAAAGATAAGCTTCGGTTGATTATCATTTGTTTTAAAAGAAAAATAAAGAAGAGTTTTAAAAAATTGAAACTGATTTAAAATCAAACTCTAGCTAGAACGATAAATTTTGGGGGTTTAGCAAAAATTAAAAGATTCCTCTCTTAATGTTTGGTTGAAAATAGTTTTTGCAAAAAATAATTGATTTTTTATTTTCAATCCACCACTAAAGAAGCAAAATCGTATTTGATTTCTAGGAAGAAACAAATAACAATTGCACTCAATTATCATTATTATTACAATTGCATTCGAGTACTTGTCATGTTTTAAGAAAGTTCAATGATTGAATATTAAAAAATAAATTTTTGAAAGAAAAAATAATAAATATAAAATGTCAAAATGGGGATTTGTCTCAAAAATAATTTTTTATATAAATTATTACACATTATATCAACCAAAAAAAAATAAGGAGAAAAAAACAGAGAGGAGAAAGACTAAAAGAGTATTACATACCATGGTGACTTGTTTTGAAAATTTTATAACTTCTTTGAAATACTGATTTTGATTTTGCAGCTTTGAGGGTTTTGGAAACCAATAGCCAAATCTTTTTTATTTTAAAGTACGTAGATCTGCCTTTATTTTTTTGTTTTACTTATTAATTTATTTGTTTTCTAAATAAAGTTCTAAGAAATAAAACATATATATTAGAAGCATGATTATCAAATGGTTAAGTTTGATTTCTCTTCCTCATCTTTTTGATTACTTCAAAATTCCGACACACTTTCTTGATAGATAAAGATTTTACTCTTAATTTTCATATATTTTACTCTATAAGAACCAAAGTAATATCTATTACAATAAATTATGATTTATGAATATTTTTTTTATATTATTCTAGTTTAGAACGAATTTTTAAAAAAATAATATAGTTGGTAGATGAGAGAATGTTACTCTAAATTATTGTTACTTCTCTCATGTGTTCCGCATAATTTCAATATATTATGATTTAATGAAAAATAATAATTATCTAGCACCTCACTTTCCTTTTTGAAATCAAACATTGAAATAAAACGTGTCATGTGATATTATATTCTACAAAAGTAAGAAATTAGGGGTACAAACAATATAATGGTGACGTATTTGTCTTATGAGTGACATTATTATATAAAAAACAACGGTTGTTCGCTAATAAAAAGTCCTTTTCTCAAATGTACTATTTTTTTTTATATGAATTGTTTTTTCTATGATAAGTCATAATCCAACAAAAGTAACAAAAGAAGTGTAATTTGATATTCTACTTATTTCTCTTGTTTTTCTAAATAAAATCCTTAGGGTAACACAAGAAGGTTCGCATTTCATGCTAGATATCTTTATTGATTTTGCATCATTTTCACTCATTTTTTCCCACTTATTGTCATATTATTTTAACAGAAAGGGGTTAATTATCGTTAAACAATGGTAAATTGAATAAAAATATTTTCAATTAATAGTCCGTTTAAAAAAATCTTCTAAATACAATACATTGATCCAAAAAGCAAGAAATCAAGGATAAAATGATGTAATGGTGAAACAATATTGTCTTATGGCTAAAATTATTATATGTGAAAATAACGACTGTCAATTTCTACACTCGTTAATTAAAAAAAATCTCTGGGTTTTTTTTCTCAAAGTTACTATTTTTTGTTATTTTTCTGATGTTTCTCTTGTTTTTCCTTAATGAACTGTTGGGGTAGGTTCACATTTCATGCTAGGCCATATATATTTTATTAATTTTACTTCATTTTTTCATTTTTTTGTTTCACTTATTGGCTTGTTATATATATTAATGAAAAGGATTAAAGTATTCTTTAAACTATGTGAATTGAGAAAATTTTCCTTCATTATTAATTTGTTTTGAAGATGTCCCAAATCATATCAATATTTTAGTCCAGAAAACGCAATGGCAATCCAATATTTGTCTTATGACTGAAATTATTATATGTGAAACAACGACGATTAATTTTTTTAATGACAACGGCAACCAATTTCTTCACTCTTTAACCAAAGAATATATTTAAGCCTTTTTCTCAAAGTTATTACTTTTTTATTTTTTATTTTTTTATTTATGATGAGTCATAATCGAACAAAAGTAAAAAGAAGTGTAACTTGAAATTATACTTTTTTTCTCTTGTTTTTCCTTGTTAAATTCATAGGTAACAAATGTAATTCACATTTCATGCTAGGCCATATATCTTTATTACGCTTTTTCCATGTAGAATAGAAATTATCTCTAAGATTGACAGAATATATATTTTCTTTCTCCGAGAAAATAGGGATCCCGAACAGGAGAAGTTTTAGTGTTATTTTTTCTCTTATTTTTGTTTTATTTATTGTCGTTTTATATTAAAAAGAATCAAAATATCCGAAAATTATGCAAGATTGAAAAAAAATATACTCTATTAATAGTTTGGTCCTAGAATATTTCTAATGTCAAAACTCGTATTACTCTTTGATGTTTGCTTCTATGCGTTATAATGTGCTTTTAGCAAAAATTAAATGAATCATAAGAGCAATTTATTATTGTCCTTTCTATTGAAAGAAACATAAGTACTAAGTATTAAGTATTGATGTGAATTACAAATACGGTAATGAGTCCAACCAAACTTTAAATTGACATATGATATGCTGCTATTAATCGCTATCAAATATAGTGCTTGTTCCCTGATAATTTTGCCATAAATACTTTGATCATTTAACCAATTAATTCATCTTCATCAAATATCCTACGTTTATAACAAAATGAAAGAGACCGCAATTAGCCTTTTATTAGCTCTACTGACTTTGTTCCTCCTTGAGGTGGTCTCAGCCAATGAGCTATCTCTTCCCTTTCATCTCCCAATCAATGAAACCTTTCAAGGTATTAATAATGCATCAGCCGGATACCAGGGACGATGTGGAATGCAAGGTCATGGCGGAAAATGTCCTACTGGACTCTGTTGTAGTATATGGGGTTGGTGTGGAACAACATCAGACTATTGTGCTCCTAAAAACTGTCAGAGACAATGTCCAGCCCAGTACCCAGAGGGACGATGCGGATGGCAAGCTGATGGTAAATCATGTCCTACTGCTACTGGTCAATGTTGTAGTATATGGGGTTGGTGTGGGACCACACCAGATTATTGTGCTCCTGAAAACTGTCAAAGCCACTGTAAATTACCCTCACCTCCTCCTCCACCTCCATCCCCACCCCCACCTCCACCCGCACTTCCATACCCACAATGTGGAATTAAAAAGGGTGGCGGGAAATGTATTAAAACAGGAGAGTGTTGTAGTATATGGGGTTGGTGTGGAACCACAAACGAGTATTGTTCTCCTGGATATTGTCAGAAACAATGTCCAGGTCCATACCCACAGGGACGATGCGGATGGCAAGCTAATGGTAAATCATGTCCTACTGGTACTGGACAGTGTTGTAGTAACGGTGGTTGGTGTGGGACCACATTCGGTTATTGCGCTTCTCAACACTGTCAAAGCCAATGCAACACTACTACTACTCTAACCTCATCCCTCAAGAATCGTATGAGAGGTATTGGAAGTTTCATGCTCAACATTGTCTAGATGCTACTTCCCAAATACTAGCTACAGGATGTACTTTTACTCCTCTTTTGGGACTGGACAAGTGAACGAATATTATTAATGTGTGTAATAATTAATGCATATAAAATGCATTAAGAAATAATATAATACTAAATAAAGACCTTTTGTCTACAAACATATTTTATTTACAACTATTTATGTTCCATAATACAACCATGTTTAGCTACTTGCTAGTTTTTCCTGTATTCCCAAATACTGCTAGAGGATGTACTTTTACTCCTCTTTTGGGACTGGACTGAGAAAAATTAGCCAAAATACTGCTAGGGTTTATTTTGGTTTATTTGGGGATTTTCGTCCAATTGAGGAGCACGGATGATAAGTATAGTAACAACATGGGTAAAAATACGGTAAAGACATAGTCAACTAATAAACCAAAGTTGAGGGGTATTTTTGACCCTTTTCCCTTATTATTATTATTATTATTATTATTATTGTTATTATTATTATTATTATGTATACCTCATTATTTCGGAACTTTAATTTCTTTTGTTATAATTTATATAACGTTATTTAATTGAATAAAAAAAATTAAAGGAGAGAAGTGCCATAAGTCATTATAACTTATCTCATTATAAAATATTTGCAACTATAAAATGTAACATTCTTTTGGAAATTATAAATTTTTTAAGAAGAAAGTAATGGTCGCATGAATCAAATGTGTATCCGATGAGTAAGGTAATGCATATATGTGCAAAAAATCAATTAGATATGTATAAATAGTAGATTTGAGCAGAGTAAATTTGATAAAGGTGATTGAATTATAATTTTGAACTCATAAAGTTCAAATTCCAGTTAATCTACTAATATCATAATTTGAGTGTTTTTTTAGTTTCCCATCAAATATATGAGTATCCACTTTCCCAACAAGATTAGCAATATAAAACTTGACTGTAATTCTCAATATTCTACAAATGGAAAAGAGTCAAAAATACCCTTGAACTATATGAAAAGGTTTAAAAATATCCTTCATCCATCTTTTGGTCAAAAAATATCCTTCATACATCTTTTGATAAAAAAATATCCTTCAGGAATTCTTTTTTTTTTTGGCTTACTTACCCCCTTGAAACTAACAACCCTCTCTTTATTTTTTTTAAAAAAAATATTTATTATGTGTCATTCTCTTATGGGATGAAATAAAATCCCCATCCCAGCTAGAATTTCTCCCATAATTTATCCAAGCCAAAAGAATATACTTCTTTAAGACCTCAATTATTTTTATTTATTTTTTTAAAAAGCTAATAGTTTTTATATTTGTTGTAGCATTTTATTTTTGAGTTTCTTTTAGATCCGGCTCCTCTCCATTTTTTTTCTCTATTTTCCCCCAATTTTTACTTGGATTGAAGGCACATGGCATACGAAAAAATTAACGACTAAAATTTAATTAATTAAATCAAAATTCTAAACATGATATAATATCATGTTCACAATAATATTATCTTATCCATAATACGTTATAATTTTTTTCCTTTTTTCCCCTATTTTTGATTTTCCCTACGGGTTACGGGCTACGGGCTACGAGCATCTATATTCTTTTTCTTCGTTTCTCTTTGAAATTAGTTGTTTCAAAGAGTATTACTAAAAAATTAAATGATCATTTTTTTAGAAAGAAAAAAGGAAGATAGAATTTAGGATTTATGATAGCATAATATGTCCTTATAATTGTGGCATTACTAATATTTTTAAAAAAATATACAAATTATCTAAAACGATTTTTTTTAAAATAAAAAAAACTATAGAAAATACAAATTACTAGATTTAAAAAAAATATGTTTTTGAGGTCTTGAAGATGTATATTGGTTTTATTTGGATAAATTATAGGGAAAAATTAATAGAGGTAGATTTTATTTCTATCCAATAAGAAAATGACAAAAAATAAGTATTTAAAAAAATAAAAAATAAATAAAGAGAGGTTTACAAATTAATATATATTTTTGTGTCTCATCTATTTTTATTTTTTTTGGCATCTCATACGATTTGCTTTATTTTATAGCCCGATGAACAATTTGCAAGTAGTTTTCTATTATTTAAATTAGTGCTTGAAATCAATACACTTAATCATATAATTTGTGTTTGCAGGTAAATTATAATTATGTTCTACTAATATATATGGACAACTTTCTTTGACCTACTAACTCCAATCTATTTTTCTCTCTTTAAAATCTTTTAATTTTTTGCCCATTTTTTTCTTCTCATTATATTTTGCTATAAGGAATAGAATCACAAGGACATATTGAAAATAAAATTTAAATAGTTGTCTTCTATTAGTTTATTTATTTTGTCTTTTACTTGAATTAAAGATTAAGATTGTAAATTTAAGTTATAAAAATGGTGAAAGCTCCTGAAAAAGGACAATAAAATAAAATAAAATAATTTGCCAACTCAACCTATTGCACAACGTCTTTCATCAAGTGGCACATTATGATTTTTCATATTTTTATGTCAGTTAGAAAATTTATTTTCAAGTGGTCCTAGATTTAGAAAGGGTAAACTTTAATATAAATGCAGTTGGTAGATAAAGAATTAACTTCACTTTCTACATTATTGTTGTTACTCTTTAATGTTGTACACTTGTACTATATAATTTTAATACTATCTGTTTATCGAGAAAATAATTCAATAACCTTTCAAAAGCTTAGAAGTTGGACACTAAAAAAATATATTTATGAGGTTCTTAGAAAAGTCACGTGTGATAGGCTCGACTAAGAAGAGTTTAAGTAGAAGATGGGGTTGGAAATATCCCAGGGCACTCTTTTTTCTAAGATACTGCACGTTGCACCAAAATCAATAGCTAAGAAAGGATTAGGTGGGATTCAACCCCCCGGTCTTTTTTATTGAATACTCTTGCTAAAGTTCACCATCTCTTCACTTGATCTTTATACAAAATTAATTTTTTTTATTTATCTATTTTAACAAATCAAAATAAACTTATCATTTTCTTCTAATTATCCTTATCATTAAGTAGTGTCAAATTTAAAATATATAAGATTAACTTAGTAAAATACATCTCAAATTAAAAATAATAATCTTAAATGGTATATCAGGCCAATTATTTTTCATAACCCTTTCTATTGAAAGGAAAATGTAATAACAAAACAAAATTAATACTTATGCACTTTAGGGACTCACTTGTAACTTATTTTCCTATATATATACAGCATCATAAGACCTCATCTATCCCATAACAATTCACAAATTAAAATGAAACTTTTAGTTGTGATGGTTTTGTTTCTTGTTAAGGTGGTCTCAGCTGATCATGAGGCATCTCTTCCCTTTAATGAAACACATGTTGTGCAGTCAGTACATCAACCAGGACGATGAGGATTACAAACTTGGGGACATCAACAATGTTCTGAAGGGTCGTGTTGTAGTATCTCTGGTTGGTGTGGAACCACATCAAGCTATTGTAACTCTCCATTTTGTCAAAGTCAATGCCAAGAGCTAGACGACGACACATCAGCCCTATCAGTAGTACAATCAGGACAATGTGGAAGCCAAGCTGGAGGTAAACAATGTCCTAATGGAGAATGTTGTAGTCGACGGGGTTGGTGTGGAACCACATCAGACTATTGTGAGTATTAAGCCAAATCAAAGCTTCTTCCCCAAACTTGGCTAGAGGATGTACTTTTACTCCTCTTTTGGGACTAGTGAAGTGTAGTTGAATATTAAGTAATGTGTGTAATTTTAATTAATGTATATATATGAAATGCATTAATTAATTAATATTATAATAAATAAATGACGTTTCTCTAAATCAAAATAGTGAATGATTATGTATGTTCATTCTATAATATATATATATTCCCACCATTTTCATCTATATTATAATCTATATGAAGGGGTACGTACGAAATGTAACCCATTTAGGATTTTACATTTTGCTCGACTTTGATGCGTAAAGAACAAATATTTATTGAGTCAAAATTTCTTATTCAAAATAACTCAATTATTATTTTTTACAAATATTGGCCATTCGATCCTATTTCTTATCAGCGGGGTGCATTTTGATGCTCTCCCGCTTCACTAAACACCATAAATTTCACTAGTTTTTACTCACCACTTGTGTATCTGATATAGTTTATTTTATATATGTAATAAAATTTACCCCAAAACCAGCGAACATGAAAAAAAATAAAAAAATACAATGCTTGAAAGAGAAAATATGATATCATGAAACAACACACAACATGAGTGTGATTGCAGTAAATGCACATCCGCTATGGGTGGGTTGCTTTTGAAGAAAGAAAAAAAATAGAAAAAAATAAATTTTCATTTAATTTTATTAATAAATTTAATTAGATTTTTTTGTCAATGAAATCGAAGATAGTATTGTTGGGAAACTTTGAAAGTGCAGTAATTGAAGTGGGTTTAACAGAAAAAGATCCGGAGAAAAGGAGAGAGAATGACCGAAGGGAAATTTAGGAGAGAGATTTTATTAGAGGTACTTGTTTATAGATAATTTTAAAGTGATAGAAGATTAATATGAAGAAATGTAATTTATAAATAAAATAATTTGTGCTCAAATCTGTTTCTCCCATTATTTTTCTCTTTGAATTTCTATGTGCTTCGAGGGATCTTAGTATATTTATCTAAAATACCTTGCTATATATCTTATCTCAACGATTATTAATGAATTTATGAGATATTTGAGATGTCTCTTCAAGAAATAATATTACCCTTTGTATAGGCATGAATCATGACTTTATGATAGAAATCATAAAATAGTCTTTAAAAAATTCTGATTCAAATCAAATTTATTTTATAGAGTTTCACAAAATTTTAATATCTACGGTATTATATGACTTAATTATTTTTTGATTAGTACCGTATTTGTTTCTTTAAGTTTCGGGCACGTACGTGCCACTTTATATATCGTGGGGATGCAAAATAAAACACACGACTTTTATTCGGTAGGGTACATTCAGAAATGATTGTACCATTCCACATGGTAATAATTGAACTCTCTTTTTAAACTTCTTTTTTCTTCGATAAATTCACAAAGGGGTGTCAATAATATCTTTTGATGTTTAAGGGATTGAAAAGCTAGAAAGTAAGTGCAATAGCTCATAAATCGCATAGAAAACGTAAATTATGGGTGTGCTTATCAGACATCC